TAGATGCTCCCTTTGACTTTTATAGAGAATCCTCTATAACCTACCTCAATGTGAATACCATTGTAAATGAACTTAAATTGTTTGTCATGGTGTTTATCATAGATGTTTGTATCAGGGCAGTATAAAAGGGAGGTAGAGTGAGGTTGAGTTAATTTATTGTGCTTCTCCTGTAATCGGCTATTTATCGTCTCCTGCTTCTATTCGTCTCTCGGCTGTTGGTTATCAATAAATATCGTCAAAGTCCCGCGTGGCAGCACTCGAAAGGAACACAAGCCGATACAGTACATGGTGCATCGGCAGCTATCCTATTCGGACAGAAGAACCAGGAGCAGTAAGTAAACCCTCGAAAACTTTCGCAGTTACCTTCCTCTCTTCATTCGATTAAAAAGATGAGTTCTCTCATTGCTGCAAGGCAAGGCGTGCTGACAAGGGCACAAAATCGTCTCAGTAGAATTCTAAATGCGCACTCAAATCTGTTAAACCTTGACCAAGAAGACCACGACGTCAGAGAGATACAAAGATCGATCAGGAAAGTGAAAGCTACGATGCTCACAGAGGTGCAAAAAGTCGAAGAAGCTATGGACCGATACGCCGAAGCAGTGGACAACGCAGACAGATCCCCTTCGAGATCGGACCTTATGGAGCGAACAGAAGCTCACATTGATGCCGCACAGACGCTTCTAGACGATGCGCACAACTTCTTGAGGGAACTCACGGAACTTCAAGAAGAACTGATGGATTCGGAAAAGCGGAACAACCCCTCTTCGAGGAATTCCGAAGTCACCCTAACGCCAATCCCAATACCCAAATTTGATGGAGACATTTGGGAGTGGGAACCTTTTTGGCAGAGTTTCGAACGAAGCGTGCACTCTAAAAACATCGATGACATGTACAAGATGAGCTATCTTCTCGACGCCTTACAAGGAGCAGCCAAGGAATCAGTAAAGCATTTCCAAGTAGCTGGTCACACATATCCTCTAGTAATTGCCCATTTGAAACGAAAGTATGGAGACACGCAGGCATTAGTGGATCGACTCCTAAGTAAGCTCCAATCGACCGAAGCAGACAGCGATCATCTCAAAGATCAGGAAACCTTGTGCGAGCAGCTCACTTCAATTACGTCACAACTGGATCTCCACGGAGAACACATCGATAACACATTTCTGCAGAAACAGCTTCTAGCGAAGTTCTCCGTAGACGTTCAAAGACAGATTCTCCGTCAGAAAGCTAAGCTCCAAGCGGAAGGGACCTGGGACACCATGACCCTGTTAAGGACCGCAAAGGAATTCATAGAAGCTGAAGTGAGAATCATGAGTCAAATGGAACGAAATGTCTTCAACAATAAAAGGAGCCAAGAAAGGTTAAGATAGAAGAAAAGAGACCCACAACCAACAGAAAACCAGCGGAGCTTCAATCTTCAAAGCCTTGTTTTTACTGTACAAAAACAGGACATTCTGCGAGAGACTGCACAGAAGTAGCTACACTTGAGCAACGCCTCGAAATTATGAGGAAGCAAAAACTTTGCCGGAATTGCGGCCAAAGAGACCATACAGCAACAACGTGCCGCAAGGGAGCTTGCAGAATGTGTGGGATTACTGGACACCACACCTCAATCTGCAAAACTCTCTTTCCCAACAACACTTTTCAAACGTCCCAAAATACAAGGGAGAAAGCAACCAAGACAACACAAAACCGTACGAAACCATTAAACGTCAGCACACTGGGTGCTAACCAAAAGCCGAGCCTAATGGAAGACAACGTACTTCACTTCAGCAACCATAACAAGGATATGGTTCTAGCAGGACAGGCGAAAGTATTCAACCCAACTACGGGAGCTTTCGAACCTGTTCACGTCATGCTTGATTCTGGCGCCGATCGATCGTTCATCAGCAGCGCACTTGCAAGGAGATTGCATCTCAAAGACATCGAGTCTGTAAAGCTCACTATCAACACTTTCGGCTCACAGCAGCCAATATCGAAGACATGTGGCGTCACAACAGTCCAAATGTGGGACGCCAGTGGCACAAAACATGCATTCAAGGTCACAAGGATCAACACAATCACGCAGTCACTGCAACGGAACCCCCTCAACGTCGAGGACAAACGGTTCCTCTGTGACAATAACCTGCAACTCTCCATAAACCCAAACCTGACAAGCATCCGCCCGCAAATTCTCCTTAGCTGCAACGACCTCTTTTCTCTTCTAGATCATGGCTTGGCGTCACAACACATACTTCCATCAGGATATCGACTCATTTCTTCGAAACTCGGTTATTTAGTAGCAGGATACAATAGCAACTGCTCTACAACAATAAAGAAGGATGAGAAGAAGATCACGATACACACTGCGAATACAGTGGAACCCGAAGAATCACAGCAGTCGTGGGAAGACTTCTGCACGTTCGAATCATCTGGAGTGGGCGAATTCGTTGGCCCGAAGACAGAGGAACGTAGAAGGACAGACCACGCTATATGGAGTTCATTTGAACAAACAGTCGAAAGAAAGGATGACGGCTACTATGTACGCCTCCCCTGGAAAGAAGACGCTGAGCAATTACCAGACAACAAGGCTCTAGCTCTACGCCGCTTACAAACACTGATCAACAAATTAAAAACTACTCCTGAAATACTACAGCAGTATCAGGAAACAATACAAACTCAACTAGATCGTGACATCATTGAAGAAGTCGATGAAGACAGGTCTCCCGATGGAAACATTGTACACTACCTGCCTCATCGTGCAGTTATCACTCCAAACAAGAACACAACCAAGCTAAGAGTCGTTTATGATGCCTCAGCTCATCTCAGAAATGCTCCTTCTCTCAACGATGTACTTCATCGAGGACCCGTCATGCTTCCCAAGCTTTGGGACATTCTACTACGATTCAGAATAGGAGACGTCGCCATCGCCAGTGATGTCGAAAAAGCCTTTCTACAAGTGAGACTCCACTTGGAAGACAGAGACGCAACTCGTTTCATGTGGCTAAGAGACTTCAATCAACCGATGACCCTAGGCAACATCATCACATACCGCTTCAGCCGCGTTACCTTCGGACTAATATGTTCGCCATTTCTCCTAGCTGGAACAATCAAGTATCATCTGCAACATCACGCGAAGGACACTGAAATCGCTCGCGAAATACTAAACAACACATATGTAGACAATGTGATCATGACAGCGAAATCTACAGCGGAAGCAATGCGCTTATACGAAAATTCAAAAAGTGTATTTGAAGACATGAAAATGAATCTCAGAGAATTCATTTCTAACGATGAAAAACTCAAGCGACAGATACCCAAAAAAGATTTAAGCGAAATGACTACTCAGAAAATCTTAGGGATACTGTGGAATTCAATTCAAGACGAGCTAATGCTAACTTGCAAGTATCCTCCTAAAGAAATTACCACAAAACGATCTGTCTCCGAACAAATAGCCTCAATCTATGATCCACTAGGATGGATGACACCAATCACGCTTCATGGAAAACGATTTCTGCAGCATTTGTGGAAATGCGATTACAGCTGGGACGAAATCCTTTCTCAAGAACATCAACAGCAGTGGGAAGGAATTCTACATGAAGTAAATGACTTCCAGTGTAAACTCAACAGAAGAATCACGCAAATCAACGAAAGTGTGAAACTTGTCGTCTTCTCCGACGCCAGCAGCATTGGTATGGCCACGTGCGCATACATCACATCAAACAACGGATCAGCTCTTGTAGCAGGAAAATCCAAATTACCGTCGGTGAAAGAAATACCCACGATCCCCAAGATGGAGCTCAATGCCCTGACGATGGCAGTGCGATTGATGTATTCTATATATGAAGCAGTGAAAGAGCGCTTGAATATAGAAGAAATAGCTGTTTTGTCCGACTCAGAAATCGCTTTAAGCTGGATTTCATCACATCAACTGAATACATCCACCGGCGTGTTAGTGCGAAACCGAGTTCGCGAAATACAACAGATCGTCTCTCAAGTTCTCCCTCCAGTCCACTTCGGCTATGTGAAAACTAAAGATAATCCAGCCGACTGTGCGACAAGAGGAATAAAGAAAGCTGATCTCAAGAATCATTTATGGTGGACTGGACCATCTTACATCTCACATCCACTAGAACAATGGCCCCGTGAGTGCAACATATTCAATTTGCCACCGAACGACAACAACGAAAATGTCTGCATATCAACCGCTGGAACAGTCAATGGTTTTTCGGAATTACTGAATTGGAAACGACACAACAATCTTCAGAAAAGCCAAAGAGTACTAGCATACGTCTTGCGTTTCCTAAAGCGATTACTTACCCACGTAAACAGCAGTCTCAAGAAGAAAGTGGAGAGCAGCATTCCAGAAATACGACACGCAGAATCGTTGGTATACATAACTGCTACAGAAATGGAAATGGCTCTGAGAATACTTATTCGGAATCACCAGAAAGTTCATCTCCCTACAGAAAGACAAACAGCATTGAAGCAGTTAAAGTTGAAAGAAGACCAGTATGGAATCTTAAGGTGCAGAGGACGACTGGGAAACTCTGAGCTGAAATCCAGTGCGAAACATCCTTACCTGATCGCCAGTAAGACCGATCTCGCTCGGTTAATTGTGGAAAATGCACATTCTTCCCTACACTGCAGTATGGCACACACTATGGCAAATGTACGACAACAATTTTGGATTCCGAAACTTCGACAAATGGTTCGTTCCGCGATAGCTAGATGTCTACCTTGCCAGAAGATTAACAATCTCCCTTATCGGTACCCGGAAATGGATGATCTGCCTGAACAGCGAGTACGCAGAACAAGACCATTTGAACACATTGGGATCGACTACTTCGGACCTCTCTCGATAAAACGAAACGACGAACCCGCAAAAGCTTACGGAATTATCCTGACGTGCGCAACGACACGGCTTATTCACCTAGAACAAGTACCCGACATGAGCACAAATCACTTGCTGATGGCCTTGCGCCGATTCTTTGCTCGACGCGGAGTTCCGGCTAGCATCACATCTGACAATGGATCCAACTTCATACTGGCGGAACAAATTCTTCACGACCTGGTTTTACCCACGATCAATGACGTATCATTCATTCAAACAATGGCAACCAAAGGAATTGTATGGAAAACAATCATACCTTATGCTCCGTGGCAGGGAGGTCTTTATGAGCGTATGATTAAGTCCATCAAGCACAGCCTCTACAAAGTCTTGCAACGAAGAGTTCCAGATGAGAAAACCCTTGAAACGCTCTTAGTGGAAATTGAAGGTTGCATCAACACCAGACCTCTCACATATCAAGAAGAAAAGTGGGATGAAACACCAGCACTACGTCCAATAGACTTCATTCAACGCGACATGATTACAACGTATCCATTCGAAAACGCTGGAATGGATAATGAAGATCCAGATTACCTTCCACCTGATGAAATCGTGACACTACAAACTCGACAACAAGCAGAAGAAGCACTCAAGACAAGTCATCAACTTACAGAACACTTCTGGAAAGTTTGGAGTCAACAATACCTGACCGCCTTACGAGAATCTCATAAACTTCTCATCAGCAATAAACGCAGTACTCCAAAAACACCGTCTGTCGGAGAGATCGTGTTGATCGCGGAACCCTTGCTTCCACGAAACACTTGGAAAATGGGAAGAATCATGAAAATCCACCACTCCCACAACGACGTCATCAGAGACGTGGAACTTCGAATACCGAATGGACGTACAATTCGCAGACCAGTGAACTTGTTGATCCCGTTGGAACTGGGAGATGCGAATTTGCAAAAACAAACGGAATCAGATACCTCTGAGTTCCAGCCCAAACCCCGATACAACCTACGTCCCCGTCCGTGCAAGAAAGACACCTCTACAGCAAGTGTTAACTATTCCGTAACCCACACCCTCCCTTCTCCCACTACCATCTTTCTGCCGAACACGGCAGCCTCTCCCACCCAAACCCACTCCTCAACCACCAACCAAACCTCAACCCTCCCACTCCCTCCAGTGAAGCCCTACACCCACAAAACCTCTTCTATAAACTCAACATCCTGCACAAGTTCCTCTATCAATCAATTAGCGGTCACGAAACTATCCAGCGACTCCCTATTCCCTGCAAGATGCCTCCCGAAACCTCGACGTATGAACATTTCCTTCAATTTCAAGAAAAAGGAGTGTTCACTACTCCCTACGGAAAGGATTCTCCAAGAACAAGACGAATACAACGACATCACGGACATCTCAAAAATGAAGAAAAATTCACCAACTCGACGACAGCTACAGGAAACGAAGTCAGCCACAGCAATGGAAGAAGATAAAAATGATAAATGCGACGATCATCTTTCTGGGGCGGGGAGTATAGAGAATCCTCTATAACCTACTTCAATATGAATACCATTGTAAATGAACTTAACTTGTTTGTCATGGTGTTTATCATAGATGTTTGTATCAGGGCAGTATAAAAGGGAGGTAGAGTGAGGTTGAGTTAATTTATTGTGCTTCTCCTGTAATCGGCTATTTATCGTCTCCTGCTTCTATTCGTCTCTCGGCTGTTGGTTATCAATAAATATCGTCAAAGTCCCGCGTGGCAGCACTCGAAAGGAACACAAGCCGATACAGTACACAAGTTCACCGGGCCGATGCACCATGTACTGTATCGGCTTGTGTTCCTTTCGAGTGCTGCCACGCGGGACTTTGACGATATTTATTGATAACCAACAGCCGAGAGACGAATAGAAGCAGGAGACGATAAATAGCCGATTTCAGGAGAAGCACGATAAATTAACTCAACCTCACTCTACCTCCCTTTTATACTGCCCTGATACAAACATCTATGATAAACACCATGACAAACAATTTAAGTTCATTTACAATGGTATTCACATTGAAGTAGGTTATAGAGGATTCTCTATATATTGATCACTAGAACACATCCTGATTGCTGTTCTGATCATATTGTTAATGACTGCATTTTTAACTGCACGAGGATGAGCCGATGTTGCGTGTATTAGGATGTTTTTGCAGCTAGGTTTGCGGTACCACTTTATGCTAGCAGTGCCATTAGACAGCTTGATTTGCGTATTCAGGTAGGGCAGCCAATCGTTCTTTGGTACTTCTCGAAGTTGTGAGCTTGATGTACTGTGACTGCTCATTCAGTAATCGGAAGCATTCATCCATTTCCGACTGTGTTGATGTTACAATAAAGCAGTCGTCGATGTATCTGCAGTACATCAATGGCAAGCGACTCAGTACTGGTTCTTCAATTTTGCTCATAAAGCAAACAGCAAGTACTGGTGCTAGTCGCTGACCCATAGCCAAACCTCTAATTTGTGAATAGTACCGTCCTGACCATCTAAATATGTTACAACGCAAACATTCTTCAACTAGAGTCATGATGTGCACTTTATTTAGTCCAAAGGTCTCGATGTTATTGAGATGTCCATCTAACATTTCAGACAGAGCCTGTAAAGCTTGTTCATTTTGTACGTTCGTATAAAGTGCAGTGACATCAAATGACTCCATCACACAACTCGTTCCAAAGTTGGAGCTGTGCAGACGTTGAAGAAACTGATTCGTGTTGGTTAGATGGGAGGGAATTTTGGTCAGCAATTGGCTCACAATTGTGTTAAGGTACCAGGATATTCGATCGGCTGGTCCACCAACGCAGCTTATGATTGGTCGTATTTTGTAAGTGTCTGGTGACATTGATAGCATGTCGCTTGGAGCAAGTTTGTGGGTCTTGATAAGACTGTAGAAAACTGGACAAGTGGGTTTATCTAGCTTAAGTCTAGTCAAAAGTTTTCCATCTATTCCAGCTGATTTTCCCACTGTCATCCACATGTGATTGAGGTGCCTATATTGCTCCATAAAGTCTTCAACGGTAACGCGGCGGTAAATCGTTGAGTCTTGCAGATGGAGCTCAGTTATCTCGCGGTCCAATGATTGCGGCATAACGACAAACTCCCCACCCTTATCACTTACAGAGATGCGTATTGTGCCGTTCGTTCTTAACTCACGTACTTCTCTAAACCCTAGCCATTGCTCGCGAGTCATGTTTTTATTGTGAAGCTGTCTGTATCGATTGGATGTGTTGTATCGGATTAGAGTAACCGTTAATCTTCGGCAACACTCATCTTTCCACTAATGCATTGAATTTTCTCAGTCTCGGACCGTCATTTTCACCGTCGCAGAATATTAACGCGGTCGTATTCCGTAAAGTTGTGGGAGGATTACAAAGATTGAGGGATCTATTACGGTTCAAGATGAGGCGTGATAATGACATGCAAACCACCGTACGTTCCGATCAGAGATTGTTACCTGTTGTGCCATTTCCACGTACCATTTACAAAGAACCTGAACCAGTAGTTGAAGCTGATGCAAAATTTAGAATCTTGGCATCTGGTGTGCTAGCAACACTCAATCGATACAGACAGCTTCACAATAAAAACATGACTCGCGAGCAATGGCTAGGGTTTAGAGAAGTACGTGAGTTGACGACGCACAATACGCATCTCTGTAAGTGATAAGGGTGGGGAGTTTGTCGTTATGCCGCAATCATTGGACCGCGAGATAACTGAGCTCCATCTGCAAGACTCAACGATTTACCGCCGCGTTACCGTTGAGGACTTTATGGAGCAACATAGGCACCTCAATCACATGTGGATGACAGTGGGAAAATCAGCTGGAATAGATGGAAAACTTTTGACTAGACTTAAGCTAGATAAATCCACTTGTCCAGTTTTCTACAGTCTTATCAAACCCACAAACTTGCTCCAAGCGACATGCTATCAATGTCACCAGACACTTACAAAATACGACCAATCATAAGCTGCGTTTGGTGGACCAGCCGATCGAATATCCTGGTACCTTAACACAATTGTGAGCCAATTGCTGACCAAAATTCCCTCCCATCTAACCAACACGAATCAGTTTCTTCAACGTCTGCACAGCTCCAACTTTGGAACGAGTTGTGTGATGGAGTCATTTGATGTCACTGCACTTTATACGAACGTACAAAATGAACAAGCTTTACAGGCTCTGTCTGAAATGTTAGATGGACATCTCAATAACATCGAGACCTTTGGACTAAATAAAGTGCACATCATGACTCTAGTTGAAGAATGTTTGCGTTGTAACATATTTAGATGGTCAGGACGGTACTATTCACAAATTAGAGGTTTGGCTATGGGTCAGCGACTAGCACCAGTACTTGCTGTTTGCTTTATGAGCAAAATTGAAGAACCAGTACTGAGTCGCTTGCCATTGATGTACTGCAGATACATCGACGACTGCTTTATTGTAACATCAACACAGTCGGAAATGGATGAATGCTTCCGATTACTGAATGAGCAGTCACAGTACATCAAGCTCACACGAGAAGTACCAAAGAACGATTGGCTGCCCTACCTGAATACGCAAATCAAGCTGTCTAATGGCACTGCTAGCATAAAGTGGTACCGCAAACCTAGCTGCAAAAACATCCTGATACACGCAACATCGGCTCATCCTCGTGCAGTTAAAAATGCAGTCATTAACAATATGATCAGAACAGCAATCAGGATGTGTTCTAGTGATCAAGAGCGACAGGAATCAAGGCAGCTAGCTTTGAAAATAGCTGCTGAAAACGGCTATCCGGTACCAATGCACCGCACGAGATCGAGTGCTGGCCAACAGCGGCATCTACCACGCCAACGCAAGTTACCTTTGTGCCTCCCTTTCATCTCCGATCGAGTCAGCGCCGCAATGCATCACAGTATTGTAAGAGCAGGGCTGCAAGATAAGATGATGTTATATTAGTGAACATTCCTAATAGTAATATCAAACGGCAGCTTGTTCGAAACAGACTGTATGACAGGCAGTGCGTGACATCAGACTGCATTATCTGCCCAAATGGCACGGCAGGGGATTGTGGTAAGGTTGGGGTGATTTATCAACTTGAATGTGTGGTATGTAATAGCACGTATATTGGAGAAACTGGGAGAGCACTAGGTATCCGTATTCAAGAGCATCTAGCTGGGAAGAGGCGTGGTAATGTAGCTACACCACTTGGCAAGCACAAGATTGAGGAGCACAATGGGAACGACTTTGATGTTAAATGTTCTGTGTTAGCGTACGAGACTGAGATTTCATCCAGAAAAGCTTTGGAATCATTCTGGATTTTCGCAAGGAAACCTAGAATGAAAACGAATGTCCGTCGATTACGAATGAGCTCTTGCCTTTTGTCTCAAAGTGCGAGCTATGAGTGCGACGTGCAAATTGACAGATTTTGACATATATGACACTGCGAGACTTGAGTAGAGCTCATTTGCCTCATTGACGTCAACTAACACAGGGCGTGAGCTACTGCTCCGCATCGGTGGAATCTTGGGTGAGTTACTTCTTCATCACTGAGTGCTCGGAAGTGTTCTCGACGCTCTATGACGTCGAGAATACTAAAGCGGTTGATCGAGTAGCTAACAAATCAAAAAGCTTCAGACAATCTCCAGGCCTCTGAAGAAGACGAAGCGGTCGAAACGTCAGGCCAGTAAATAAAGATTCCATCTTAAAAACCTCGTTTGGCATACAGTACAAAAACAATTGCAGTACACTCAACATCAAATGCCGAGGTTTCAACAAAGGACGACATGGAGACTGCCAAAGGCAGTATTGAAGGGCAGAAGAGGCCCTTTTGAATGGTATATGTGTTTCTTGGGTTATACTTGTATTCTCTAGATTCGTAGCTCGAAAAGAAAAACGCTACGGTATTATGCACCAACCCAATACTTGCAAAGCCGCCGAATCGGTGCAGAAGTCATCTGCAACTTTGAAGAATTAGAAGAACAACTGAAGAGGAACGACTGAACTATCAACAGCGATCTAAGAAGACTATCAGAAGCTAATTCAAAAAAAATAAAAGAAACTGTGGAGGCAGGTAGCACACGCGTGAGAAGGCAAAACCACCGGCTAACGGAGCAAACTCTACAACTTCTGAGAAGGAGAGCTGCTTTAAAGGCACAAGGAATACTAGACGAAGAATACCATCACATATGTGAGCAAGCTAGGAGAATGATAGTGGCAGACTATGATAACTACAGGACCCGAAAATTAAGAGAAGCTGTGAAAGCGAACAAGGGGCTGAAAAAGATAACAAAAGAAGTCCAACTAAAGCAAAAGATGCCACTAGCCCCGAAAGTGGAAAGTCGAGTATTCACTAGAAGTGGCATGACACGAATATGCAAAAGCTTCACAAACTGTACAGTTCGGTTATCCCCATACAAGAAGAACGTTGTACAATTCAACCGGAGGAATTCCAACCTGTCCTAACAGATGAAGTAGAAGC